AGATGATAACAAGATTGAAATAATTAAGGATTTATCAAATCTATACTTTAAGCAATCGAAATGTATGGAATATAAATTTTCTCGGTAAGGATCCACTATATTCAAAAATCGAATACATAAAAATGCATTAAATTTCTTTGAATAAAACTGAAATCGTAAAAATCATACATTTTGATGATTTTATTTTCGTTAAAATTTCGACGAGTTTTTCCAAGTTTTTTTTATTTGTTGGTCTGATTGGTTAGTCAAATATTATTATTATTTCATCATTAATTCCTATGTAGGAAAAGATGCGACGAGAACTTACTAATAGTACTCAAGATAGAAGGATAATTCATGATATGTCTAACCGACATCCAAGAACATTTACAGAAGGTCATTTAGACGTACTGAGATGGATGATACACACGAGTAATATAATCGCTTGGAGAGTGTGTAGTATCGATGCTTCATAAGATTACATTTGCTACATTACATTTGGCATACAGTGAATACTATTACATTACTGACTATACTGTCTCTTTACCCTAAAGAAGGTGTGTTTGAGCTTACTCCATTAGAATCCTTAAGATCTTTTTGCATGATTGTAGATAATACGAAATTTCACTTATTTAAAAAATGTTAAATCCGTTGCATTGCATAGCAATATTAACTGGAAGTATCCTGATATTTTTATATAGCTTTTTCTTATATCAATCAAGACCGACTGTATCACCATCACTCAAATGGGAACGTGAAGCTGTCTGTTCTAACATATCTGTTTCCTTAGAATCCAACTTTACGCGAAGGAATAGGCTCAGATGGCTACGATTACAAGATACCTACCATTCTATAAATATAAATTCTTTGTGGGCTACACCTCACAATTATGATAGACCAAGGCTTATCTTTAAATGTAAATCGGCCTGTAATGGTCTAGGCGATCGGCTTCGTGGAATTGCCACTTGCTTTGTTCTAGCATTGGTTTCTGATCGTCAATTTATGATTGATATGACTCATCCACTTGATGTCATAAATTATTTAGTGCCTAATATGTATAATTGGATGTTTGACAATAGAACGTCGAAATTGACTCGTTCTCGCAAAATCATCCATGCTATGGACGTCGAACCCAACTTTGCGAATGAAATTCAAAATACACAATTCATTGAGACTTGGGCAAAATATGATGATATCGAAATACGTACAAATTTGGATTTGATTTCTGATATTTTTCGAAATCCTCTTATTCAAAACAATACGATAATTAAAATGTTCTTGCTCAGTATAGCTTTAGAAAAATTGACCTTACATAATTTATTTCCTTTCATATTCGAAATTCTATTTAAACCAACCCTTGAAGTTGTCAATGCATTAAAACCTATTCTTCAAGTTATTGCAAATGGTTACACGCTCACTTGTATACACTTACGTATGGGACAGAACCCGTCTAATCCGGTGGATGCTCGTTTTGAAAATCGAGATTTAGCCCCCGAAGATATAATAGATTTCTTGAATAGAACAAATTTACGAAAAATGCAACATACACGACTTTTTGTCACCAGCGATTCTGAACAAGCATTGTCAAAAATCGTTTCACAATTTCCAAATCAAACTATAACAATATCTGGTCCAATCCTTCATATTGATCGTCCAAAGAATCGTAATGATACCGGTCGTGGAGTTCTTAAAGTAATTGCCGATTTTTACGCGTTAGGAGAATGTCACACGAGTATTTTGACACCTAGTGGATTTTCAGGATTAGCCAACCGACGACGGATAGAACCATATCAAAATTTATTTAAATATGATGTCTCAAATAGACAAATTGAACGTTGCCATGATATCTACGAATATGGAAAGCCACCAAAAACAGTGGACGTTTCATTGTATTGTAGAGTAATTTTCAATTATTCTTCTCGCGAAATGTGAGTGAATTGAGAGTCTAGATGAATTGATGGATGTGAGTATCAGTAGATGGGTAGATTGGTGTGAGTGTGCTTTTTCTTCTTTCGTATTATGAAAAACATCAAAACATGAATCTTTTGACACTAAAAATCGATCTTTATAATAAAAGTTAGTTGAGAAAAACTATGAAATACAAATTGTTTTATTCTTTATGGCATACTTGTTTCTTTATATTGAAATTGTCGTTTCATCTGATCAAGTCAATGCATAGTCATGTTTTGATCTATTTAAAGAAATGTTCATAGATTGAACATTACATGAAATGAACAAAACCAGAACATGTCTTCTTTACTGTTGCTATGAATCTATTAATGAAAAATCGAAGAAAATATTTCAAACATAATCAGAGAAACTTTTCAAAGTCTACTATGGATAATTCAACTTAAAGGCATTGACTAATTACATCGTTCGAAAAAATTCTCATATTTCAAGTGACTTCATCAAGGAAGAATAGTCACTCGATAACTTTGAAAAATCATTTTCAAGATACTTGTCTTGATTCAATTCTTAAAGCATAATAAATTTGTAAAATACATCTCAATAGTTTCATTTGCAATTTTCCAAATAACATTTTTTCATCAATATATAAGTAATTTTACTATAATTGTATTCCTCGATCATATTCGTACTTAGCTAAGAAATGTTCGAGACCAGAACTAATGTGGTAAACTCAGAATCCATACAAATATTTATCTTTAAGATTTTGCTTTCTAAAATCTCAAGTTTTCTACTGTTTAATCGAGCAATAATTGTAGGAATTTTACGCAATATATACCTTCGGTGTCTTCAATATTTTCCAGATTGTTGACAATTATTCAAAAGGTGCACATTATGTTGCAGGTCGACCAACTGGTACCGAGATCAGATGAATAAAATATTTGTTCATCTCTATTTCGGCATGAAAAACTGAATTATAAAGGTTATTGTCCAATCTTATTGAACCATTCGCCTAATTTTTTTCGAACAAAAAAGATTATAGAGACATGCAATAAAGTTGGTACTACATTGAAAGATTAAGCCATATTCACGTAAGTGTCATTCGACAATGAGATTTTTACAATAAATTGAATGTAATTCATTCGTCAATCATGTTCTTGCCAACATAAATTTATAGAAGGTCATTTCTGTCCATATGTTGAAACATGTTTTCTTCTCTATGATGTCTCAAAATTTGCATGAATGACACAAACATAGTATGATTTAATCATCTCTTACACGATGCAATCTATAAATCAAATAGTCTTGTATAAGAGTGAAGTGAATCAAATATAAAATATAACAAATGACATGTTCTAGTTCATTGATGTTATTGAAAATTATCATGAAAAAATGTTTTTTTTTGTGTTTACAATGTCATCTGGGAAAAGATACTGAGTTGATATGCACCGTAATGGATGTTCATATGTAATTTTCTCTGATTTTGTAGAACTCACATATATTTTCGAAGAAAATAGTGAGTGTAAGTTTTACGATTCTCCTTCCCATTACAGGTCATAGCGACGCAGATCTCCATTACAGACTTTAGCAATCGAGAGTAACAGGTGTCAAACTTTCTAGAGTTTTTTTGCAAAATTGATCATGTTATAATTTTGAAAAATAATGAATATCATTCTTTGTGAGTTGATTAAAAAATATATATATATATATGATAGCGCGTAAGATCTGCTGTAAATATCATGGATATGTAAAACAGACTTGTTTGTCAATTAATTCAATGATTATA